TATGTATGTATGTATATATGTGTATGTATGTATGTATGTATATATATATATATTGTATATATATATATATATATATGTATGTATGTATATATGTGTATGTATGTATGTATGTATGTATGTATATATATGAATGTATGTATGTATGTATTTATATATATATATATATATATATGCTGGAGTATTCATCAATGTGTGTAGATATGTACGTCTGTTTGTGTATGTGTGTGTTTGACTTGGGCTTCGTATAAGTGTTCACGAACGTGTGTATATTGTTAAAGTGTTTTCAGTCTGTGTATCATTGTGACTTTGTATCTGCATGTTTATGCTTGCACGTGTCCGCCTGTATGTCTGCATAGGTGTTAGTGTTGTTCATAACCAAAGACAGCCTCTCGTCATCTCTACACAGTGCACATTAGTACTGAAAGCTCGACACGGATAGGGTAACCGTGACAGCCTTCGTGTGAAATGGCTTTTATCAGCATGGATCTGCTTGTTAAAAATACCATGGACAGACATCCGACTCATATATATATATATATCCTTCGCAACACCCGTGAGTGTTGCTTCACTAGTGCAGAAGTATCAGTGTAATGCGGGGATACTGGGCAAGGGCGAGGAAAGAGTGTTCTGTCTGTGCTAGATGCCGCACCCATAACAACTGCCACGTGGACATCTGCCCACAGTACATGACATACCAAACATAAGCCACATGTGCATATCTATGCCCCTACACTTAACACACTCGCTTGCTTATTAAGCCACATGTGCATAACTATACCCCTACACGTAACACACTCGCTTGCTTCTCATAGGCAAGGGCCTGAGCTGCAGCTCTAGCCACACACATCAGCCACCGCGCGAGGGGTGTGTCACGCGGCGTTCGTGCGCAAGCATTGCGTGAACACTACCCATCTCCGGTAGACGCGCTTTCTTCAAACACTGACAACTAACCATATCCTAGTACATTCCCCAACATTCGAATCTCATACGTATATATGTAGCCATATTCACCCACCCGCCTGATTGTCTTGTCTGTACTATACGCAGGGGTGTGAGTTGCAGTTGCAGCTACATACATCGGCTACAGTGAGAGGGGTGTGTCACGTGGAGATAGTGCGCACGGGCGACGAGATCATGCTCCATCTCAGAGTGGAACGGTCGCAGTTTAGGACTGCCGTGTCTACACCGAACACAGCAGCCTCGTATGTAGGACTGCTTTGTCACCTCAATCATTGATATAGTATTCCATATGAATAATTTCTACTGTGTTTGCTGTATTCATGTATCGCGGGTTCATCACTCTGTATTGGTCTGTGAAGCTCGCATGTGCTCCATTTTACTTGTACATTTTGCGTGCCAAAATTAGTTTGCAAACTTGAGACAGAAGTTTGAAATTCAGAGTAAGGTGTGGGAACTATGTGAGGCGGAGTTGCTAGAATTGACAAAGACTTCCAAATCAATTTCCCAAGCCATTTAGTTGGGACTCGCATCCGCAGGAAACCCAAATTTCATCTCATGTGCATTGAGATATGTGTACGATCAATATTTGTGTATTCAATTTGCTTTCCATGTGTATGCGTATATATATTGGTATTGTTTCCATTCGGTCACCCCTTAGGCTGTGGGTCTATTTTGATTTAATTCATACTATTGTCACTGTTATACTGATTAGTGTATTCCAGTTGCTCTGATGTTTGCTGAATTAGCCCAAGGGACGCTTGCAAACACTTGCCACCGCTACCGCTTCCCCTGTGCACATGTGTAGACCCACATGAGACCTAGGGCCCGTATATGTTCATGTAGTAGCGGTATCTAACCAATCAGTCTTCCTCATCCTTATACGAACCCTACAGGCGCAACATGTCTTGGACAAGCTCATTCAAGGTGCCCAAGCCTAGGTCATTGGCCATAGAGGAAGGCATTGTGCACTGCAACGCCGCAGCACTGACACATAAAGGGGCTGTGGAGATGAGAGACAACATCATGGCAGTAGTGACTCTGTACCAGCACGAGCTGAAGGTGAAGCGATTCGAGGACTAGCTGGAGAGCTACATACGAAATAGACATGTATCCATTGACGTTTTAATAAAGTATAATACGTGTATTTGAACTTGGTTCATAGTCGGGGTCTCGCAAAAATGTGCACGTAAGATGCAGTTTATGTTTAAGTACTTGTTAAGGCAACATGAAAGAATGAACCTATAGTTGCACCGGCTTATCGGAACACTATAACACGCGTGCGAGAGTTTCCGCTTATTTATAAAAAAACTTCACATACATCGAAAGAGTATGGTTTAAAACAATATAATCTCGTGCCTGAGTTTGTGAGATTCCTTCTGATTCAATGACTTTATCACCACGCCCGAGACTACTTAGTCCTGCAGCCGTCCATGTCGATCGCACACAATTTAACCCGTTTTTTTGGGGGCGAAAATGTGACAATTACTCCCTGAATACCCCTCGTGATCTGTGAAGGTTCTGCCACACTGTTCATTATCAAAAAGGACGTAGTATCTTACTAGTTGCATAAACATTAAGTGTTGTATGATTCAGTGTCTTGACAGTCCGCAATAGGACTGTATTTCCTCACTAGTTGCAAGAACAATAAGTATCACATAGACCAGTGTGTTGCCAGTCGTAGCAGCCACCGTTGGTGGTACTATTTGTGTTCATACATGAAAATAGCGCCTACAATTTCGAAAATGAAAAACCGTCATATATACGTAATATACATA